GAGCGATATGAGAAATGGAAGGCTAAAGAAAAAAATTCTCGCCAGAATATTTTAAATTTGCAGGGACAAATTTTAGCACTACAGAATAACCCATCTAATATACAACAAATAGGAATGGTAGGATACGGACCCCCAATATTTTATGGATGTCCTGGTGAAGATCCAGAAGATTGGCTTAGAGAGATGCAAAGATATATAATAGCTAGTCGAATAAATGTTGCACTAGGTGCAGGTTAGGCTCCCGGAAGAGAAGAGGCATTTGGATTAGTAGTATCATGCCTTGCAGGCGATGCATTAAATTGGTATAATACTCGTGTTAAAGGTAAAAATTGGAGATGTAATAATCTCTCAGACAATTTGAGAGTTGCCAATCTAACTGCTGTTCGAGCTTTGGCCGCCGGAAATGGTGGTGGGCAAGTTGGAGCTTTGAATACTGCTGGAAAATTTCAAGGTAAGGCGGCCGCCGAAATTGGTAGAATTGGTGCAGGCATTGCAACTGGTGCTGATATTATTCTAAATGGAACATGGGATGAAGACTGGTCTATAGCTGGTGGTGAACCTGTAGATAATGCACCAGTAGCACCAAATGCTGGTGGTGGTTTACCTGCTGTTACAATTGCTCCCGGCATCAAACTTGGTCAACTCCTTCACCTCTTTAGAACTGCCTATACAATGGTTGAACACTTAAAACAGATGGCAGTTTTCGGTCAGCTCATGCAAGGCGATATGTCAGTTGAGCAGTTTTCTGCTCAAATCAAAAAGGTTGGTAAATTAGCTGAAATGACTCACGAACATCAAAGAAAGCAATTTATTCGTGGCTTAAATCCTATGAACCAATATAATATTCGAATGATGGCTAAATTTTATGATACACAGGATAATATTATAAAAGCTCTGGCTGAAGCGGAAAAATTTACATTATCTTAAAAGAGTGCACCATCTTCTCTTTCTATTTTTCCGTCAGCCAACCCATATGCAGATACTAACAGATCAGGGGGTGGTGAGATGACTAAAAATGAAATCGAGAACTTGATAAATACCACAATGGCTTCCTCACAGCCCCAACAAAATACTGATTTACAATCTTCTATTAAATCATTGCAGGAGACTATGTCTCGAGTGAATAAGACTCTGGATAAAAGTAAAAAATCGGCCAATAAGAGAGGGGAAGATCTTATTATTAGGCGTTTTTTGAGTAGCCTACTAAGAGAGAAAGGCAACGTAATCCCTGGCGATGATTATAATTATGACCCTGTGGATGATATTACTGACAGTATGTCCGGCATGACACTAAATAGTGCCACAATAAATGCTATCAAATCTGCTGTTAGACGTGCTGTTAAGAAATGTACCAAGTGTGGTAGATTTGGACATACTTCTCGTAAGTGCTCTGTAAAGAAGGAAAAGAAAAGCAAGAAGTCGAAGAAAGGTAAGGTCAATCTCGCTACTGAAGATTCAGATTCTTCATCAGGTAATAGCTCATCTAGCGATAGTTCTGATACAAGTTCCTCCGATTCTTCCGATTCTGATGACGATCCTAATGTTCATATAACTAAGTCAAAAAAAAGTGAAGAAGGGGAGTGGATCCAAGAAATCATCCTCTAAAGAGATATCTAGCGCCAAGCTGAAAGAAATACCACTAGAGGAAACTATTTGTAAAGTCCTTCAAAGTGAACTTAAATTAATCTTTCCTGCACATTTTTTCCAAGATTCTGCTGAAAGCAATTCCAGCAGTCTCATTGCGTCCAAACAGATAGTGGCTCCTATGGAGTCGAAGATGGTATCTCAAAATAATATCCCTTTAGCGTCTAAAGATTCATCTCCGGATGAGTCCAGTCTAGAGGAGGAGTCCTTAAACGATCCTATGGAAATCTATTTCATTCAGAAAAAAGAGCTGAAAACGAGTGTTGCGACTGTAAAGTGCAAAATTAAGCGCTTGAAGATTCCAGCCATAACAGTGGACTCTGGGGCTGAACCTCCCATTATAACAGAAAATATCATTATACGTGTGGGAGCTAAAATTAATAAATCTGAAACACACGATCTCAGCGGTATTGCCACTGTTCCAGTTAAATCTGTTGGAGTTGTCCGCAATTTGCATATTACTCTAGCCCCAGGTTGTATTATCCATGAAGATTTTATTGTTGTGAGATACCACAAGCTGACGCTAATATTTTCCAATCAACTTTTAAAGAAATACAATTGCGCGATGGATTGGAAAACCAACGAGCTAAAGATCCCTCTTAACGAAAAGGACTATATTATCCCAGTCACTATTCATAAAGTCAAGAACAAGCTCAAGGTGAATTGTGTGACCGCTACTTCTGAATGTGATGGTTCCTCGACTCCAGACAAAGTTTCTCAAGACTCGTAGAACTTAAGCGAGGATGATGATGTATTAAAAAAAAAGTGAGTTATGGGGAGCTTGAAAAACTGCTATATGATACTTTCAAGTATAATGTAGAAATCAATGAGTATTGTGAAAGATTACAGTCACGCTATGATGAACTTCTTGCCCCCTCGTCCAAGGACTGCAGGGTAAAGGATAGGCGATCAGGAGAGGTAAAAAAGCAGGAATAAGCAAGTTATCTTTCTAATATATTCTTCATATTCGCTATATTTTTTATGTTTCTTTCGGCTATCTTCTCATGCGATGTGAGAATCGGTTGAGACTGGATGGAAGATGGAATTAGCTCTGCTAAGGCGGATTTGGACTTCGATTTCTTCACTCAAGTCTTTTTTGCCTTCCTACCTTCTTCCGAAACTAAATCAATGGATTTGTTGGGTACTATATTAACATCATGTATTTGTTTTTTCAGTTCTGAAAATAGGGAAACATCTTGGCCTTGGATCTCTGGCTCAGTCCGTTTGCCTATAACATTTATATTAGAAAATGGAGCTGATGGCATATAAATTGGTCGATTCCATGTAACCCTATTTTTTTCTTCACCTCTCCAGATCTGATAGATTCGTTTTTGTGATGTGTGATATTTATCTGTTAATTCCTTTAAAACTTTATCTCTAGGCTTTTTTTCAGCAGATTGCATAATATGGTCATAGTCGGCCGGTGAAAAAGAAGGGGCATCACATCTCATCCGTTGCCTAAGCATGGTGGTAATATTTTTTTTATATCTAATATAATACTCCGAAATAATTTATTAAATAGGATATATAGAAAGAATGTATTATTCCGAATATACGGGATATATAGGATATTTAGAAAGTAATATTCTGGACGTATAGGATATACAGAATAAACAGGATATTTAGAAAGAATGTATTATTCTGAATAAACAGATTATGTCTATTCTTTCGGAAATTTATTCGTGCATTTTTTTTCTAATATATAACCATGCTAATATTATGTCCAATGTATATACACTGAAAGATATAAAAAATAGAGGACACCGGCTGGGTAGTGCATATGAGCAAGAGCTCAAAAAAAAATTAAGTTCCGTTACCGAATTTAACTCTGAGATTAATGATCTTAGTGAAAAGCTGGTAGATAAGTACAATGAGCAAGAAGAGGAGTTCCAGCGAATTTATGCTGATATGGGAAATAAAGCTAGCCAGTTAAATGCGTCCAGTACTAAAGTTAGATTCCAACTTATTTCTGAGCGGAAGGCTTATTCTGAAAGTCAACGTGAGCTTGAAGCCAAACATTTTGCTGAAGTCAAATCGCTCAAATCAAATATTAAATCTTTAAAGAGAGAGCTAACTTTGGCCCAGAAAGCTTTGTCTGTTGACAAGGTTCAGATTCTTTCTCTTGAAACTAAAATACGTGAATTGGAAGGTAAGTTGGAGGACAAAGATCTTGAGCATACATATCATGATTTGGATGTAATTGGGGGAGTGGTAGAAGAGCTGGCCCAAATAAGCTCATCTGATCCCAAAGAGATCGATTCTCTCAGGCTTGAATTGGAACGGGCGAAGGAGGACCTTAATTTAAAAGAATATACAATAGAATGTATGGAAAAGGGGATAGAGTCATCAAATAGCATATTTAGATGGGAAATAGATGCTTTGTATTCAGCACGATCAAAATTAAGGGAGGAAAATATGTCCTTCAGGGACCAGTTAGAATTGAAGGAAAAGCCAAGAGACGCTTCGCATAATGAAGTAGATCCTCCACCCCTGCCTATGAATAATTCATTGCAACTTCCTACTCTTGACCCGACAATATTTATAAGTAGCACTGAAGCGGTATCTTTACCAGCAACTGCTCCTTTCATTGCGACTTCCTTAATATCGCCATTAGTAGCATATTCTATACTTACCCTGGTACTTATTGCAATTATATGATTCATGGCCAAGAAATGGTGGAATTTGCGGAAAAAAAGTAACCAATATTTCACCTACGGAAATTATATAAATAGGGATCATACAAAGTGCCTCTCGACCAGACCAGATCATTATTATCTCAAATCCTAATTAACTACCGTATAAGTACTGACGCTAATGGGACTCATTCGAATCTTTTTTGAATATGAGCTAATACCTTTTCTGATAAATCTCTTTTGGCTTGACGCTCAGACGGATTTATCAAGACTTTTTTAGCTTGGGCCATCATACATGCAAATAACCATCCAATATGAATCCGGTTACCTCTCTTACCATTATGACTGTGCTGTAGTAAATATCGATAGTCACCCATTACGATATCTGCTATTCCTTCCTGATCTGATATTATCTTACTAAATAGCCACCTATCCTCTTCTGTGATCGGGAGGCGAATTTCATTTGGTTCGAAGCCTATGTACTGGGAAGCTTGGTCGCGTAGTTCAGCCATTATACCAATAAAGCTTATGTTTAAAAATGCTGTTAATATTGAATATTGCTAACGATATTCTTGGGCAGATTTCCAGGACAGCGCGGTCTCAGAAATTTAGTCACATGATTTTGAGCATTTCCGAGACTGGACTATGTGATCGGAAACCGGAAGTTCGAAGATAGAAATTGAAGTTAGCCAGTATTATTGCACGAGAAAAAATATGTAAATAATATTATGTGAAGCGTCTTATAACTAAGTTTTCTTAGCTGAAATTGCCACACCTCGCTAAGAGTACTTAACCATATAATCTATTTAAGTGCTTTGTTCTAGCACCTCTGGCTCGATTACACCCTCAAGATGGAAATACCATAAATTACTAATACTATCTAACGCTTCAATTTCTGATATGTGAGGTAGGTGGGTAAACCAACAATTATCTCATCTTTTCGCATGGATGAAACTGTGCCGATTTCTTCTGGAATTGATACATGCTCTTTATAACGCATATGATAGACCAATTTGTGAAAGAATAAATTATACTCTCCAATACATTTTACAAGCTTGCTAGAATATTAAGCAAAATCAGAGCATATTTTTTCCTTCATTTTGTCATCCACCAACAGGTTTTTATCTTTTGAAATTTTCCTAGCGCATTTCATAAATTTCTCCCATAATACCTCGACAGAGTTACTTGCCATGAATATCTCGTAGCTAAGCCATTCACCATGAAATATTTCATATGAACTACCCATCTTTTGATACAACATTTCTTATGCTTCTTTGACCGCATTCCTATAGGCACGTTTATAAGCAATCCTACGGGATGCCATCATCTTGAAAGTAATACCATTCACCACGATATTCTCTTTCACAAATCCCTCAAACCACAACTTGGCCTTCTTTTGAGCATGGCCGTCTATCTGATTATATTTCTCATCTGGATCATCGATTTGCATTATTCTATCTGAGGGGACTGGCTCATGTCTCTTATCATACATGATAAATCGGGCGTAAAGACCAATGATAGTTTTTTCGTAATAATGATATAAATCTAACTCCTTACCTAATTCCTTAGCTATGTCCACAAATTCCATTTTCTCGCCTTTAGTTAGGTTTAACTTTCTGTCATGTGAATCAAAAGTCGTGTCTGGATGAGTTACTACATAACTAAAGTGCTCACCTGGTACCGGAATCTTAGTATCGCATTTTCCTCTCATTCGTCCTATAAAATGCTAAATAGCTTTGTTGTCTACATTGGGTTTCCATGCATCTGTCTCTATAAACTGCTCGAAATCCCATTGCTTGGGATTGATTATAGCGTCCTTGAGAACATCTTCAACAATTTTATAGAGTGATCGGTCATTGTTAATACCCATAGCTCTCCACATAATCCTATCCCCTATGGTTTTGAAAACTTGGGATTTACCCTGTTTCACAGTATCGATTCCTCTTATAAAGAGCTCTTCCGGTTTGAAGTTTGGGATATCTTCATGGGAGATGCCAAAATATTTTTCCTTTCCAGTAAACACTACTGGAAATAGTACTTCTTCATAAGCCATTTTGAGATAATCCGATCTGGTTTTTAATCTAAGAAAGTTGTTTACTTCATTGTGCAATTTTTCCATTATTCCCATAGTAATTTTGATTATTTCAGTCCAGTACTCTAGTTTTGAGATAACGCCTTTCCTAGCATCATAAGTTAGATTACATTTCTCATAATAGGAATCTGGGCAAGTGAGATATAGGGAATCGGTATCACCATATTTTATCCCAAAACCTTTCTTTTTCACGAATTCTGCAACGAGTTTGATATGTTCTTGCCCAGCTGAAGTAACACCTCCGGTGAGCTCAAGTTTGTAGAACGGGGAGTCACTTTGACCTGTCACTCCATAGAATGAATTCATATATATTTTAACGGCTTTCTGTTTCGAATTCTTTAAATTGTAATCGAAGTAGACATAATTATACTCTTTCCTGAAATCATCGTAGGATGAATTAATAAAGGGACTCAGGATTTCAGCCATCTCGATATGCTTTTTCATATCTTTTGTCGAGGATAGAACATCCTTAATTACGCTCGCTATTGAGGTAGATTCGCTGGCTGAATCCAATCTACCTTTAACTAACTCCATATATTCCTTTTTCTTTTTGAGAAGTTTTAGCTCAGCCTTCATTTTATTTCACATATTGAGTAAATTTTCCAATATTTTTGGAAATAGACCTTTCTGATCAGATTTATTTCCATGCCGTATAGTTCAAGCTCGCACAAATTCGCCGTTATATTTGAACTCGATACTGTAGAGCATTTTATTTTCTCTCTTTAACTCATCTGCTTCCGAAAGTGTTGAGATCATCTTCTCGGGTGAGAGGTTGTAAGTCATAATTATGCTAGGGTACAAGGAAGCGAAGTCTAAACCTGTGACAGGACGCTTATTTTCAAGACCTCTCTCCAGCGGAAATACATATGCTCCTGGAAACTTCTTAGATGCTTTCTGGTCAGAATTTTTCATACTGAATAGAATGTCTTGGGCCCACGCTTCGGCGCCTAAAAGATTAGATACTTTTTTTTTTATGGCATAATAATGTGAGTCAAATAATGATATATAAGCAATTGAAGCGACTTCCCTATAATCTTTTATGACATTCTCTTTCACCATGAGCTCCTGACAACGTAGAGCATCTATAACGCAATAATTTACAATTTCGTGCATATTTTTGACGGAAGAGTCAGAAGTCCTATCCCTTGCTTCCGAATAATACTTCCATAATTTGCTCATAGGCATATCAGCTTTACCATCAAGACTATATTTTTCTAAGAAGAATTTGAGTGATGTTTTCTCAGAGCGGGGGTGGAGTTGCATAAAACTTGCGCAAACATCGATTGGCATGCACCCGGGAAGTTTAAGAAAGGATGATTCGAAGTTCAAAGTGGGATTGATTTTGATATTGATGGAATCTCAGCCTAATATTTTTTTGGGACCCTTGTCCTGTCTCTCTTTCTTTACCCATTGGCTCCTTTGGAAGAAACCATTAGTTAGTGGTTTTCCTGTTTCACCAAAATAATTCCAAGTGAGAATGGAATTAGTTTCAGCTTTCTTATGCGGGTTTGCTGACATTCGCTGAACCATCCAGTTAAGAACATTTAACTTAGTAGCCTTTTCTACAATGAAAGGTCAATCATAACCAGAATCGTTAAAACCAAGCTCAATATCTGGGGCAAAAGATTTCCAACATAAAGCAAAAGCTTTTAATAAATTGGCTTGATTCTCACATATAATTGTTGTCCAGTGTGGGTCCGGTGCTGTCTCAACATCAACAAGACATATTTGTTCTAGTGGTTTTGGGTCGTCTTTCCAGTGGATAGTCATACAAATCATAAAAACTTGAGCTGTTTCATTTTTTGCTTCTGAGACTTTATTACCTAATCCGCGTGAATCATGTGTTTCTATGTCCCATGTTAGAACTAGTGTCCAGTCGCAAGTAAAGAGAGAAGATGGATAGATTTTGTAAAGTGGTTCAAAATTATCTATGGGGCGAAAGTTATCAATATGGGCATAAAATGCATGTGGGCAGTGATGGGATTTCGCATAATAAGGTGCACTGAAATTATATCTATAATCACCTATTAATCCCCAGCCGGAAAGTGGTATCTGATACTCTCTTGCAACTTTACGATAATATGTGCCTGTATCGTCTGAAGCTGTCTCTATTTTACATTCAGGATCAACCTTTGAATTGTAGCTTGAGATAATATTGAAAGCAGTAAACCTTAGGTCTTTATTGGATGTAATAATATGGAGATACGGCTTTTTTTCCGCATGGTAGCCACGGATAGGGAATGCTTTTATACATTCCATTCGAATCAGACTCATGTTTATAATACCCCCTGCTGTCTTTCCCAGTAGCAAGAATACCCTTTATTTTGGACCAGAATTTAGGAATACTTGTATTATTGGAAACACAAATATCAAAGAAAACCTTAATACCAGTGATCGTTACGACCGCTTTCTGGCTATTGATAAGAGAACCATAAAGGCGAAGAATATAATGGGGGATATTATTAATATATTCTTTAGCTTCTTCTATATCGACCGGCATGAATGGGATATCTCGATGTTTTGCTATCTCATCTTTGAGAATTGAAGTTGAATCCTCATCGTTTCTTATAGCCAATTCATCACGAGGTGGGATACTCACCAAGTAATTCTCATTGGAATAACGAATTACTTTACCTTTCTTATCTTTTTCAGCCTCTGGGTGAAAATGGGCGGTAATTATAATTGATTATAAAATGAGAATATTACCATATAGTACAAGAGAAACTAAATCTCAATT